ATTAATAATAAAAAACAAAAGGCTTATAAGTTTATGCATAATTAATTTTTTCGTACATAGTCGGCATAATTGTTGTGCAGGTCAACCCATCATACATTTTTTATTAAAAGATATGTTTCAATAAAATCGAGAATTTCAAATTATGCAAAATACTATATCATGTATGTTTACCTAATTGCAACTGATCATATTTATTAAATAAAACAGATTGCATAGAAATCAGACTCAATTTCAAATTAAAAGTTAACATTTAAAAATCTCTTATCATTTGGATATTACTTTCTTTAGTTCGAATTTTTAAACATAAAGTAGAGTCAGATAATATTAATTTGCAATGCAAAATAAAATCGAAATGGAAATCCTAAAAATTTGGGTTTTGTTTAATCATATAGAATACAAATCTGAAATTGATTGCATACATTTACAAAATAAATAATGATTGCATACACTTACAAAATATCATATATATATATATATATATATATATATATCCTGCTAAATAATTAATTGATTTATTTAAGCTTATCTCGAATCCTAATATAATTTATGGTGATAAACGATGTACTAAAAGACTAAACAAATAATGTTGTGTAAAATGATGTATTTAATAATATATAAGTTACATTTCGTTTATTCCAATACATGCGCTTTACGCCCTTCCAATCATCCAATCATCCAAATCTAAATGTTTACCTTAATAAGACTAGCTCGTGCATTGCACGGGTACCGCACTAGTTTCTCCACAAACGTATTTTGTTTATTCTTATTTGGGCAAAAACTTATCCTTATTGTTCATTAACACCACATTTAATTAATTTCACTACTCTTCTTTTCTTATTTATGAAAACTCAAATGTGCTTCGTAACCTAAAGTTTGATTAAAAAATTATTAATAATAAAAAAAAAAGGCTTAGTTTATGCATAATTAATTTTTCCATACATAGTCCGATAGTCGGCATAATTGTTGTGCAGGTCAACCCATCATACATATTTTAATAAAATATATACTTATGTTATAAAATTTCATAATTGTATTAACATTTTTTTAGAGCGATATTTCAATTTAAAATTATACATATTTGTTGAAAAATTTAAACTATGTAACTATTAAATAATTTTGGAAATGAAGCAATTACATGAAACACTCATTATGCCATTTTTTTTTTTGGATGCAATGAAAGGGTCACAAACCTAAAAACACAAGTCACACACGTTTCGCGAATAGGAAACGCCAAGAATATCATGATGAAGCTACGGTCGAACCTCATCGTGTGGAATAGTAAAGAATTGGCACCCCATCAATCAGTCCGCAGTGAAGGAAGCCAAATGGTCGACCGCAAAATTCGTTTCACGGTAGACATGTTTCACCTTCACCATCCAAGATCAACCCAAGAGTTTTTTTGATACCCAAAACCAGGCCCGCGTGCACTCCCGGGACATCGTCCAAAGACTCAGAAAATCCCACAACACTCGGCATTTTCTACTCCGGCCTCCATCTGACGAAATTCCAAAATTCCACGCCATGCTAAGACCCCTAAACTCATTATGCCATTTCAATTATTCAAAATGATAAAATTATTTCTTTCCCTCGAGTTCAATGCAAAGTATAATTACAACTTTGGTAATTGAACAATTAAAAATGTCAAGCTAGACTTGTGGACAACACGTAATAAAGCAACCACACATTCGTTGACTAGAAAATAGGAGTAAATCGTACACCTAGTTATTTGAAAATTTGTTGTAGTTTTTTTTTTTACATAGAAGGAGGCCATAGGCCTGATAATTACGAAACTAAAACATGACGTGGGTAAGTCACCCACGGATGTCGTGTTCAAGCCATTCACCCAGCCCTGGAGGGGGAGACAAAACTCGTTGCAGACCTACCGGAGAATCGGTGGCTAAGGTTGTCATATGGTAAGCCGTAAAGTTGGTTTCCCTATACACGTGAGTAACCCGGCAAAATTTGTTGTAGTTTTAATCAACTATATATTCAGATCATTTTTTTCACATTCGTAACACAAAAATAATAAGGGCAATCGTGGACAAAGAGTTGGACACGTGGCAAGTGGAAGATACAATTCCAAGCTGAGCTGGAAGACAAGCAGAATGACACGTCACACGTATAAAACGGATGTGTGTGTGTGTGTGTTTTTTTTTTTTTTTTCTTGTTAATTTTCTTAGAAATTGTACAAAGCAAGTTGTGGGTCGAACTAGGATGGTCCACTCCAATAACCCGACAACTACATGATCTGTTGGGCCCGGGTTTAATTTTCAGGAACCCGGTTTATGATTCAATTCGTGGCTTGAACTGTGACCACAATACTCTCTTATTAATTAATGTAATTAATTAATTATTACGTGGCTCATTCTAGTCATTCATATTATCCTATTATTATTGTTGATGTTGTTGTAAACAGAACAATCATTTCTTTGAATTTGATTGCATCCATTTTAATTTGTCAAAATTATGAAAAATAAAAAAAAAATATTATAAAATGATCTTTGAAAGATTGCATCCATTTTAATTTGTCAGAATTATGAAAAATTAAAAATATTATAAAAAGATAGGAACTATAAAAGAGTATAATATTCCAACTCATAATTTCAAAATATATTGCAATACTACTATATCTAACTCAATATTTTATATTTCTCTGAAAAATTCCACGGAAAAAAATGGGCGTTAAAATAAATTTGTGTCATGTCAACCTAGTTTTTAAGTCGCGGTATTCTTTTCACAAATATATACATACTGATATAGGATAATATATCTAATGAGAGAACCGGCCGAATGAGTAAGTTTAACGAACCGCTCGAGCGGGCCAATTGAATCGCTTTGGTTGAACAAATATGGAAAGGGTGGTCGTGGTCGAGTATTACGAGAACAGGAGTCTCGAGATAGGAAGATAGTTAGCTTGGAAAGAGAGCTCGGTACAGGAAGAACATGTCGATCCCAGACCTGAGGAGTGTCTGGTCGAAGATCAATCCGTCGTGCAACTGGTTGTTTGATCGACCACCTCCCAAACTTGGAGCAATCAACAAATTGCTCTAGATTCAATTGAGCGCTGGATCCTTCGAGGAGATCTCAGATGAATCAAACCCCCATGCATGTGCAGAAGACACGTGGCATGACCTAATTACTACATATTGAATAACCGTTTCTGACGCACCTTTAATATGTGTTGTATTACCGGGCAGGTCGGGCAACTCATGGACAACCAACTCAGCTAGCCTAGGCAGCTTCTAGAACATGTACCTCACCGTACCCATATATATATAGGGGCGAGCTTTATGATTTGAGACACGATTTATCTATTTTTACTCTTGAGAATTGAGTGGAGTTTGAGACTGCTTTAAGAATCAGAGGCTTTTCACCGGAAACCCCTCTGGTGTGAGAGTTTTTGCAGGTATCCGACGTTCAATCGACGCGACAGTGGTTCGAGATAGCCATTTCCAGCCAGTAGGAAGGTTTTGACGTACCATATACGATTATTGAAAAATGTCATACTTTAAAACACAAGATATAGTTAATAGACATATATTATTCGATAATGAGATTATATATATTTTATTCAAATAGTATTGTTAGAATATCACTTGTGAGTTGTCCCACATCGTTCATACATGGAAAATAGACCCACCTTATAAGTCTAATGGGCTACTTCTCCTTCCACCAATTGGTTTTGGGATGGAACCCCACTTGGGCTTCATATGGGCTTTCCCCTCTCGTGGTGCGCTTCATGTTAGTGGGACCGCACCGTTTTCCCACAGTTTCATACATGGTATCAGAGCCGGTTCTATTGGGACCGTGCAATGACGTACCCGTTTATGGGAGTCTGCTTCCCCACGTACCCGTTTATGGGAGTCTACTTCTAGTAGACTTGGGGTTCCCAGTTGGGTTTGGGCTTCTGAAGGACTCACAAGTGAGGGGGCATGTTAGAATATCACTTGTGAGTTGTCCCACATCATTCATACATGGAAAATAGACCCACCTTATAAGTCTAATGGACTACTCATCCTTCCACCAATTGGTTTTGGGATGGAACCTCACTTAGGCTTCATATGAGCTTTTCCCTCTCATGATGCGCTTCATGTTAGTGGGACCGCACCGTTTTCCCCCAGTTTCTTACAAGTATGACAATTTGAGGCAAACGAATTTGTGATCCACGTACGTAATCTCAGTTTGAGTGGCCGGCTAAATATCACGTAACATAACAAGAAAGCACATAAATCAGAGTTAAATTAAACTAAAACAATAATTAGGCTGTGCTTTCTGTCCAATGAAACAACTTAGGGGGTGATTGTTTATTAATTGTACAATAATTATTTTTACTCAAACTCAAATTTAACTCAACTTTAACTTTACAATTAGGCTGTGCTTTCTGTCCAATGAAATAACTTAGGGGGTGATTGTTTATTAGTTGTACAGTAATTTTTTTTACTCAAACTCAAATTTAACTCAACTTTAACTTAACCCCACCATCTCCAATATTATTATATAATTAAATAACATCAACAAATTATTATTACATATCACATCAACTTTAATTCACTATTCATCTACTCGCATAATTTTAACTAATTTTAACTAACTATCACTTCCAATCATTTTCTCTTACTTTTACATCAAATCAATTTTAACAATTTTATTTTAAATACTATTTTAATATATCCACTAACAACTAACCATACCACTTTTTCTTAAACTTAACCATAATTAAAAAATTCTAGATTTTTTTACTATTCAAACCATAAACAATCACCCCCTTAATTCCTAATATTGAGACATGATTAGCTGTGATGTTGCTCTTTTTGGACAATTATCTTTTAAGAAAATACTACAGTCCCCGTGACGGAACTCGAGATTTGAAATCGTTAGATCATTATGTAATAGTCATGAACGGTTACAAAACCCGATGAAATGGTTTCGTAATGAGACCGTATAATGTCCATATCTTTTAAATTTAAGATAATAATTAATAAATGAACATAGCACTCCTGATGAAGCTCGGATGGTCGCTTTTGACTCAACCTCATGTGCTTTGGGTTCGTCTGCTTGTTGCGAAATATAAATTGGTGCCCGCAGCCATGGACATGGACTTTGTGTTCCCGCAAGGATCTCCCCTCATTCGGGCATTGCACAAGGTTTGGCGCTTCGTGTGCAATGGAGTGCGTTGGTCGGTCGGTGATGGAACCACTATTCGCTTTTGGCGTGACAACTGGACCCATAGCCCCCGTCCTCTCATATATGAAGCGTTGAGTCCCATTCCCGAGCAGCAGCTCGATTGGCCGGTTAGTAGCTACGTCGGTGCATCGGGCCAGTGGAGGTGGGACTTGTTTGGTCATTTGTTACCCGCTGCTGTTTCTCTGCGTATTGCAGCCTTCTTGCCGCCATCTCGCGAAGCGGGCCTAGATTCCAGGTACTGGGGTTTCTCCGAGAACGGTCAATTCACGACTAAATCTGCGTACTCCTATTTGTTTGGCACACACCAGCCGACTGCTAGCGATCGTAGCTCTTGGCGCATTATTTGGAAGTGGGTTGGCCCGCAAAGGATACGTCAATTTCTCTGGCTCGTGGTGCAAGAGAAGCTGCTCACGAATGTCGAACGGCGACGGCGGCATCTCACGGATTCCTCGACCTGTCCTCTTTGCGGGCGAGGAGAGGAATCGACTCTCCATTGCCTTCGCGATTGTGTCAAGGCTGCGCTTGTTTGGCGGAAATTACTCCCCGTTCGTCGGCCCGATTTCTTTAACTTGCCATTGAAAGAGTGGTTGCTCGAGAATTTGCATAATGGATTGCATATCACAGTTGCGGGCTGGGAAACTCTGTTCGGTGTCACGTTATGGCAGATCTGGAGGGGCCGCAATGAGGAGATCTTTTCAGAAGTAGAATTTAATGTGGCAAGAAAAATCCGGGATGTCCGAGTTTTTGTTCATGGTATTCGCTCCACTACTACTGCTGCGAGACGTTTGGGGGAGCTTGACATGGGCCGTGAAATTCATCTTATTCGATGGGAGCCTCCTGACACTGATATGGTCAAAATTAACACGGATGGCTCTTTCTTGGCTTCGTCTGGTATGGCGTCCGCTGGAGGTTTGATTAGAGATACCGGCGGTCGTTGGCTTGGGGGCTATGTGATGAATATTGGCTACTGTTCCATTACAGGAGCGGAGTTATGGGGACTCTTCCAAGGGTTGCTACTCGCTTGGGAATTGGGCTATCGTAGGGCTATCGCGGAAGTGGACAACAAGAGTGTAGTGGCTATGGCAGTGAGAGACCCGCCAGGCGGCGTTGGAGTGCATGGCAGCCTGGTTCGTGCCATACATGATTTGCTGAGCCAAGAATGGGAAGTGAGAGTGGTCCATTGTTACATAGAAGCTAACTTTGCTGCTGACTGCTTGGCGAATCTTGCTCACCACTGTCCTGGCGATTACCAACGGTTATTTGATCCACCATCAGTAGTCACACCGTGGTTACAACACGACCTTGTGGGCGTGTCTTACCCACGGCACGTATCTACCTGACGGTTCTAGGCCTTTGCCTCCTTATTTGTACCATCAAAAAATAATAATAATAATAATTGAGCGTCGGTGGATCATTCTTTGGTCTTGGACAAGATACGCACTTGTGGACATGGACTGACTTCGAGTTCAAATAAAGTGAGTGATTGTTCACAATTATATATAATTCACATATTAATGGGCCATAGTTCAAATAATGTGATTGTTCCTAATCATAATTCATATTTTAATGGGCCCACTTTACTCTGTATCTTCATTCCTCGAAATTTCCTGCATCACATGATGATATACGGGTTAACAAACATGTTTTTAATTACAAGTAATTTACTTTAGCAAAATGTTATTGTATAATAATTCCACTAACTCATTATAATTACAAGAGAAAATTAATTATATTTAGAACCAAAATATAATTAAAATTTTAAGAAATGAAATTAGGCCTAATATTTTAGAAGAAACATCTACATTTATTTACGTGGAAATGAATATGTAAAGCAAAAATAAAGGAAATAACACTGTAAAAATATAAAAACAGTAAAAATTAAGTTATGTTTGGTAGATAAATAAGCTACCTTATAACTTATTTGGTTACCTTATGTGCTTCATGTATTCAAATAAATCTCGTTTGGTAGGACGAACTTTTTTAAAGAGCTCGAGCTTATTTGATAATCTTCTTTAGTTAGCTTTTCAAATTATCTAGTTGAATTTTTTATTTCAGCTAGCTTATCAGTTAATTTTACCAAACATTTTTTTTATCATATAAGCTATCTTTTCAGCTACAAGTAATAAGCTACAAACTATAAGATTTATAAGTTATAAGATAAAAAAATTACCGATAAGCTATAAGCTAGCAGATCAACTATCAACTAGCTTATCAATCGGTTTTACCAAACATATATTGACTACTATATTCTCTTGTATTTTGTATTTATGGTAAAATGTAAATTGTATACCTATTTTGAATTGTCATCGGATCGAATCTACTTACGCAAATTGTGAATCAGATTTATGGAATTTGGGTGGTTCTTGGTTTGTTTATTACTTATTAAAGAATTAAAGAAAGGAACATCACACTCTTCTTTTTTCTTTTTTTTTTTTTTTCTTTTTGGTACAGAAATCTTCCGGTTTCCGGATCCACAGGAGAAACGACTAATCTGGAATCGAGCCAAGTAGGACCACAAGGGCGGCAAAGCTCTCCCTCAAGAGTTTTAACACTGCTGCATTCCCAGGGCTCGAACACGAGACCACTGATTAAGCTGGAAGAGACTCAAACCATCTCATCCAAGCGCTCTTGGGTAAACATCAGACTCTTCTTTAACTGCGGGATGTCTCTTAGCCATTCCTCCAAAAAATAAAAAATAATAAAAAAAATAAAATAAAATAAAATAAATAAAATCCACAATGCTTTCTTGGTAAATAGCATTTTGGGACCAAATTAAAATTTTTGAAAGTGAATTTCGTAGTTTGAATTTGACTTTGTCAAAATATGATAATTCAGTCAGTTATCCGATATATAAATTAATTTTTTTAGTATTACTAAATTTAGACATTAATTCGTGTCAAAATATCTCAAATACACTAGAGATAGGGATGCTATCTAATTTAATCCAGCCGAATCGAAGCTTTTTGTATTCGAGCTCTCATGCTCGTTTAATTAATAAGCGAGTCTCTGGCATGCTCACCTCGACTCGTCTAACAAATCCATATATGTAAATGAGTTGTTCCCGAACACGATTTGTGCATTTACGAACATGCTTGACTCTACTGTTCGTTCCGAATTTGTAAAAATTCTACAAAAACAAACGATTTGTTCACAAACGAGCTTGTCTCAGTCCGACCCATTTTATAAATTTTTGATATGTTGTTCATATTCAATTCACTTAAAAAAAAAAAGAAAAAAAGAAAAGAAAATCGATATCAAACTTTAACAAGCCAATTATCAAACCGAGGTGTACATGTTGGCTTATATACACAAAAATCAGGCTCTGATACCATGATACGAAAGAGACTAGGCGAATTCGGGAAAATAATCATCCATTAATAACTCTATTAACCAAGTATATATATACACAAAATTAAGACTACACGTACTGAAGAATAACCTAAGACTAATAATGTAAATACACAATTATACACAATAACAACTAACACAATTCGAATAAAACCAAATGTAATTAATAATTAGAGATGACAAAGATCGAATACCATGTACACACAATTCGAATAAAACCAATTTTGATTCAATTTTATAATTTAAGCATTTTTTTATACTAAAAAGATTGAAATTAAATAATTTGAAGTTTCTCGTGCCTGGTTCTATTGTTTTATGTACTAATTATTATATGGAGAAATATTTTAGAAGAAACATCTACATTTATTTGCGTGGAAATGAATATGTAAAGCAAAAATAAAGGAAATAACACTGTAAAAATATAAAAACAGTGGAAATTAAGCTATGTTTGGTAGAAAAATAAGGTAGCTTATAGCTTATTTGGTTACCTTATGTGTTTCATGTATTCAAATAAATCTCGTTTGGTAGGACGAACTTTTTTAAAAAGCTCGAGCTTATTTGATAATCTTCTTTAGTTAGTTTTTCAAATTATCTAGTTGAATTTTATATTTCAGCTAGTTTATCAGCTAATTTTACCAAACATTTTTTTTTTATCATATAAGCTATCTTTTCAGCTACAAGTAATAAGCTACAAACTATAAGATTTATAAGTTATAAGATAAAAAAATTACCGATAAACTATAAGCTAGCAGATCAACTATCAACTAGCTTATCAATCAGTTTTACCAAACATATACTGACTACTATATTCTCTTGTATTTTGTATTTATGGTAAAATGTAAATTGTGTACCTATTTTGAATTGTCATCGGATCGAATCTACTTACGCAAATTGTGAATCAGATTTATGGAATTTGGGTGGTTCTTGGTTTGTTTATTGCTTATTAAAGAATTAAAGAAAGGAACATCACACTCTTTTTTTTTTTTTTTTTTTTTTGGTACAGGGATCTTCCGGTTTCCGGATTCACAGGAGAACCGACTAATCCGGAATCGAGCCGAGTAGGACCACAAGAACGACAAAACTCTCCCTCAAGAGTTTTAACACTGCTGCATTCCCAGGGCTCGAACACGAAACCACTGATTAAGCTGGAAGAGACTCAAACCATCTCATCCAAGCGCTCTTGGTAAACATCAGTTACATCACACTCTTCTTTAACTGCGGGATGTCTCTTAGCCATTCCTCCAAAAAATAAAAAAAAAAATAAAAAAATAAAATAAAATAAAATAAAAAAAATAAAATCCACAATGCTTTCTTGGTAAATAGCATTTTGGGACCAAATTAAAATTTTTGAAAGTGAATTTAGTAGTTTGAATTTGACTTTGTCAAAATATGATAATTCAGGATAACACCGATATATCAATTAATTTTTTTAGTATTACTAAATTTAGACATTAATTCGTGTCAAAATATCTCAAATACACTAGAGATAGGGATGCTATCTAATTTAATCCAGCCGAATCGAAGCTTTTTGTATTCGAGCTCTCATGCTCGTTTAATTGATAAGCGAGACTCTGGCATGCTCACCTCGACTCATCTAACAAATTCATATATGTAAATGAGTTGTTCCCGAACACGATTTGTGCATTTACGAACATGCTTGACTCTACTGTTCGTTCCGAATTTGTAAAAATTCTACAAAAACAAACGACTTGTTCGCAAACGAGCTTGTCTCAGTCCGACCCATTTTATAAATTTTTGATCTGTTGTTCATATTCAATTCACTTAAAAAAAAAAAAAGAAAAAAAGAAAAGAAAATCGATATCAAACTTTAACAAGCCAATTATCAAACCGAGGTGTACATGTTGGCTTATGTACACAAAAATCAGGCTCTGATACCATGATACGAAAGAGACGAGGCGAATTCGAGAAAATAATCATCTTAATCGGATGATCCAATAACTCTTTTAACCAAGTATATATATATATACACAAAATTAGGGCACGTACTGAAAGATAACCTAAGACTAATAATATAAATACACAATTATACACAATAACAACTAACACAATTCGAATAATACCAAATGTAATTACTAATTAGAGATTTCGAAAAAAAAAAAAAAAAAAAGTAATTACTAATTAGAGATGACAAAGATTGATGTAGAGAGGTTTAGGGGGGAGGGGGCCTTTGCAGTACCGCAATGCATGCACGTGTGGCGATTTGTGCTGTCAATTTCCAGTCATTAGTACGTGTCTGCACACGGCTGGTTGGGACGTTACTATGAAACCCGCATTTATTAGTAATATATTCATTCTCCCATTCCACCACCTTACAGGTACATATCAAACACCACAAA